TATCAATTCAATTTACGCACATGCATAAAGAGGACGCGCAAAATTTAATGAGCATTTTATGAAAACAAAAACAACCATTTGACTAAATGTTGCTTTACCAAGTGATGGAGTAAATTTGAATTTTTACTTGCAGATAAATCCATCCTTATAATTAAAATACCTATGCAGCAATTCAAATTTTGTTAATATAGATAGAATAATTATAATAATATCAAAAAGGTTTTAATTTTTTTCCCTGTGCAGTCCAGTTGTCTATTTTTTTCGCTTACCTTTTTGTCGGTGGCAAACTTTCCACGTCTTGTAGCGTCACTTTTTTAATGGCATTAAAAAGTTCGGCCGCCGCTGGCCAAAGTTCTCAGCACTAAGGTGCCTTTTTTATTGGCGCCAGGACGTGTTTGCCCCGCAGGATTTCACTTCCCGTTTTTCAACTTCCGAGTCCTCGAACTCAAGGTGCTGGCGCAAAAAAAGGCAGCAAAAATTAAATAAAACTTTTTTAGCTCACAAATGTTTTGCTGCTAATTGAAAATAGCTGTTGGGTTCAATTAGAGGACGCTGCACCGTGCGGCGGCTTAAGCGGCTGACTGGCCACGCCCCAATCGCCCCTTCTTCGGTGAAGTAAGCCCAGAAAAAACTCGCTGATTTAAGCAATTTTTTGTGAAACTTATCGCTTGTGTGGCGAGACTTTTCAGCTTTCCATGGAACAACTTGCAGCTGATGGATCGAATTAACTTGGGAGGAGCGGGGGAATCTGATTTCCCGCAATTGTTAATGCTCAGGGAAAGTTTTTGCACAGCTTAGTGGCGTACAAATGAGGACAAGCTTCACCTGCAGATGAATACTTCTCCTTTCAAGGGAAACTGATAAAAAAAAAAAGAAAAAGTTCTGACCAAAGGTTAATTGGATAGTTCAAGGAGAAGGAGTGGCAAAGTTTTATTGAAGTTTTTCCAATTTCTTTGATCCCGAATTGCTGATTTCTTTCCTTTTTTGGAAGTTGGAACTTACATAAAACTTAAGCCGCAGTTTTTTGAAGGTAGAACTGGTAAACAAAATATAAAAATACAAGGTTTTATATATACAAAAATTCTTTTATTCTAAACGTATATATTAAGTAAACTTTTACCCAAGAGATTAATTAGGATTGCTCTTTATATTTCGAACTAAATACATTTAATGAGCCAACCCGCACACACAATAAATAAACAGAATCTGGCATCGAATGGCCAAACACAAATTGTCAATTAAAAGGTATTTAAGCTTAATACCCAGGTCACACGGCCACGTCGAGCGCTTAATCCACGTAAATTAGTGCAAAAATCAAGTGGATACCTTGATGCCCGACAAGCCCCACACGCATGAGCCCCCAATTTTCCAGGAGCGGTGAGAAATAAACAACGGGGAGTGGGGAAATGGGGAAGTGGGGCCGAGGGCCAAAGAGCAGGGCAACCGACACCAATAAAGCCAACAAAGCGTTTTTAGGGTTAAGTCCATGTCAAAGTGTCAGTTTAGTATCGGTATCATGTCATGTTGTCTGCTCGTTCCTGCCGGGGATGTTGTTGCTGCTGTGGGTGATTTTTTGGGGGGTTTTGGGTGCTTTTGGGTGGTGGGGAGGTTTTAATTTCGTGTGTGCTATGTGGCAACATCAGGCCAAACAGACGTGTGCCCTGGACCCTCTATCTCTGCCTCGGAATTGCGCTGAAGGTGCAACGTTTTACTAATGAATTTAACAAGGATGCTGGCTGGCAAACGCGGGTGTGAAATCGGGTGGCTGCACTGAGAAAAACTGAGTTTCAAGCCAGCTTTAAAAAGACTTAACTTCCCCTTTTTCATTTGGATACCTCTCTTAGATGATTTCGAAGTATCATTTAAAATCTAGATTTGTTTTCTCTGTAGAATGGGGTGGTCGCAGCACGTTGCAGCGTTGCATGCTCATTAAAATGTCAGGGCAGCAGAAAGCAGTCTGGAGAGTCCAGTTCCAGTTCCCGTTCGTCTGGGGGCATCAGCTGCACTTTGTGGTCCTGCTGTTTATCCTGCCAACATATTTTTCAAATGTTCCGTTTGCATAAGTGAAAAGGCCAAAAAAGGAAGATAACACACACACACACACACACACGCACGCGGATGAGGAGGAGGAGGTGTCCAACATTGGCGTCAACACAACGGGGAATCGGGGGCCAAGGAGTGGGCCAAATCTGCCAACAATGGCGCGTAAATTTACGACTCACCTACGCGACTAGACGGTTCTGACCGGGCCAAAAGCACCCATGGGTGGGACCAGAAAACAAGGAGTGGGTGGAGCACATGTGCGGCGTATTTAAATTTGTTTTCATCCACATTTCAGGTTGCGCCTGTTAATCCAATGAAATTGCGTAATTAAATTTGCGCTTCATTTGGCGTTTGTCATGTTTGTCGTTGCGGTGACAAATTTAAAAACCTGTTGTCGTCCGCCCGCCTAAAAGTGCACCCTTTTTCCCAACTCCCGGTCGAAAAAATGAACTGAAACCGAAATTGTTGTACACGTAGTAATTTTTCAATTGCTGCATAATTGAAGGCAAACCAGCGGAGAAATCCGCACCAAAAAAATTGGCAAAATATTGGCAGCAAATTGTCGGCATGACAAAGTGGTTCAGGACCAAAAGCCCCGTCTCCCATTTTTCAGACTGTTGATGTGTGGCTTTGTTTTCCACTTTTTTTGCATGCCATAGATTCGTGTCCTCTGGGGAAAACGGAAAGTTGACTAGCAATTGTGTGAACGGCAGATGAAAAATGATTTTTAATTGTTGAGCGTCGAGTGTTGAGGGTCTGCGGTCGGAGAAAAAGGGTGAAAATCAGTGAAACTCTTTCCCTTTTAGCGGGCTTTTTCATGCTGGCTGTCCGTGGAGATAAAGTCATGTGCAATTGTGCAAATGATAAGCTGAAGTCGGCGGCGGCGGTAACACCGGCACTCATTACTTCCGTCGAAGGAAGTCGATAAGGGTCCATAGCCCTACGGACCCGATAAGGCCACTGCATCGGTCGACGATGCAGTCCAGCTACGATTAATGCAAACGCTCCTCAGATGGTCGGCAAACTTGAAAGGCGCTCACAATCGTCAACTAGAACTGAACCAACACTCGAGAAAATATTTATGCATGTAGTTAAATACTTAAAAAGTACTAGATTTATTGTAAACATAGAAGGGTTTCTTTAAATTCATTATAAATGATTTGAATAGCTGGGGTGACTTATGCAGAACTTTAGAATAATTTTGACACTCCAACCTTCAACGTAAAGCGGAGGTTAGAGTGATTCATCTACCTTTCAAAACCTTTGTTGGTTTCTTAAATGTTGAATTGATATCATTTGTGGCTTCCGGTGGAGCTGTTTTTCGAGTGCACCGTTCCACGGGGCTTCTCCTAGACGACAGCGGTGCCAAGCACGGAAAGTGCCTTTTCTTATCAGCCAGAATTGCGCGTTAGCTTCCAACGGTTGGCAATGGGATAATGAGGTTGGTCGGCTCCCCACACAATTTCGTTAGAACAGTCCAGTCTCTGAGCTCCAAAAGCCCCTGGTCTTCGCGTTTCTCTGTGTCGCACATTACTCACTCAATCTGCGTTTCATACATGCATTCATCTGTTGCGCAGTTTTTCTCAAAACCGCAACAAGTACTACAGAAGAACTGAGTACCCTAGTAAACTGAACTTGTGAGAAAGCCTTAGCTTATAGCGATTATTTTACTATTGGGTTTCGGTACTTAGGTTTTTGAAAGGGATAAGGAATCTTACTAAACATAATATCATTTAAAAGGGTAAAAACCCATTCGGATTGGCGAGTTCTATTGCGATTCTAGGGCGCCATCTTGTCTCCCAGTAGCGTGACTCGATTCGCGAGTTCTTCTGTGATAAATGCGTCAAATGTCGTCGGCGGCGGCGGCTGTGCCACAGTGCCGGCGATTAAAACTGGCAGGGAGGGCCCCGGATCGGGGGTGTATATGTTATAGGAGTGTGTGGACGCTGGCCATAATGATGAAATGAAATTTGGAGCAGTGAGACGAGCGGCTGTCGGACTGTTATCGCTGTCGCTTTTGCTTTTGCTGTTGCTTTTGCTTTTGCTTTGAGTTTAATTAAAAAGTTTCGCTCTTTGTGGCAGCGGCAACAGCCGAAAGCACTTCATTCAAATTCATATTTTGATTTGGCGTGTTTTCATATAATTAAAATCCGTTCCCGAATGCACTCCGAGGGCGTGTCCCTCGGCCTCTCCTGGTGCCTCCTGGCCAGCTGGAGGAGGGCCATGCTAAACCCAAGAGCAAAGGATGCGATATTAGTGTGTTCAAGATATTAACAGCATATTTGACATAACAATATGGAGAGTGTCCTGCAGCAGCAACAGGAAGCAATTTCTCATCGTACGCTGGTTTTATTAGCCCACTCAGCCATCCAGCCATCCGCCCTCGAAGAAAGCATTCATGGCATCCTTATGGGGATTCTTGGCTTGGCCAGGACATGCCGGGCAGCTCATAAGACAGCATAAAGTATGACAGACATTTTGGCAACACTTTGCAGACCGTTAGCAGCCCCGGCTTTTTAAATTGTTAATGTGGCTTGTAGTGGGTGGGGCCCTGCTCCCCGGAAGACAAAGGAGCTGTCATAATTCGCTGCGAAATATTGTCACCCAGCTAGCTGCACTCATATGAGCCCAATTTGCCTTGGCCCGGCGTTCTTGGCTCCGCTTCCTGGCAAGACATCAGTTGGCCATTATATGGCTGCTCTGCTCCCCCAAAATCCTCTCCAGCTGCCCGGAAGTACGCGCCATTTTCTAATATTGTAACGGAAGCAATTAATATGATCATAACAATGCTGGAAATCCCAGCAACAGCCGTCTTAATGGTAATGCTTATGAAGCTTTTGTTATTAGTTGAAAAAGAGTAGAGACTGCAGAGTGGGAAACCCTGGTTCAGGATGTTCTATTGGTTTTCGAAAAGTAAAAAATTCAAATTCAACCGATACAGATTTGTTTGATGCTTCTAGTTAACACTTGTCATTTAAATTTTTGTCCCTATAAAAATATGTATATACATCTAGCAGTCTATGTTTGCTTTTAATACAGGCTTTAAATTTCCACAATATTACTACCGTTTCTTTTCAAAATAAAACCATTAAGTGAGGAACACCCAACATGTCCTCGCCCACCAACTTCGACCGATCCATGCTGGTGGAGTACAGTGCTGCCTTCATGTACTACATCGAGAAGCACAAGCTGATGGAGGTAATGAGTCGCATTTTAGCTGAGATTTCCGTGGCGGAGGGAGTAACCGACGTTCGGCGCTGGATGGGCGAGAATATAGCGCGGATCGGTGTAGCTATATACACGAAATCGCTGGACGCCTTCTACCGCGGGGTGTCGGGCGACTTCTACCAGCTACCCAGGAGCTTCTACCACCGAATCGTTCTGCACGGGAAGCCGGGATCCGGTCGCCGATCCCTGGCCCATGTCCTGGCACAGCGATGGAACCTGCTGATCCTGGACGCGGATGTCCTGACCTACCACAGCATCAACAGTCGGGTGCAGGACGAGCACTCCCGACTGCTCCAGGACGCCATAGAAAAGGACTGCGTTTACAAGAGGTCGGAGGCAGTGGGGAACCTCATCCAGAACAGACTCCTCAAGGAGGACGCCCTCCACAGGGGTTGGATCCTGATCAACTACCCCAACAACAAGTGCGAGGCCGAGGAGCTCTTCGAGGGCTTCACTGTACCGCCGAACCGGTTCGTCTTCCTGCAAATCGATGAGCGCATGGCCCGCATGCGGATCCTGATGAACAGCTACTCGCCAGGACCTCAAGCCCACGTCAGTTTCCTGGATCGCCAGATGGCCCAGTTCCGAAAGAGCGAGCCAGCCCTGAATGCCTACCTCAGCCAGCGGAGGGAAGTGATCTACGTGGACGCCTCGCCGTGCTTCGAGGAAGTCAAGTGCGCCATCATATCGCAACTCACCAAATCCACCTATGTCCTGGGCAAAAAGAAAGGAGAGGCCAATGCCAAAATATGAATTTAACTCCCAGCTCTGTGCACTGAAATTGAGTAACAATGTGTTCTCCAAGTCCTTCTGATTACTCTCGTTATTATTATTGTTTGCTCAAGTGTCAGACGTTGTTTGTGTTATTATTTCTTTGCTTTTTTGGGGTCAGGCCTATCAGACTGCTGACCAATTCCCCTCCATCCCCCAACAAAACATTGCTACGTTTTCGTTTAGGTAAACAGCAAACGCAAGGGAATCTTAAGTGCCAAGATGAGGACAACAAAAGTTGTGGAAAAAAAGATACTCATTAAATAGTTTAAAACAAATTTAAACTAATTAAATAAGTTAAAAGACTGCCTTAAACTAGTCATAATTTAATGCATTATTTTATGTTAAAGAAAAAGAGTAAATAGAAATAAAGAACACTTTATAACTGGATACTAGCAAAGGTATAAATCTTTTTATAATTCATAGTATATCCAACCAAAACGAAAAATTTCCGAACCAAAACACCCTCATCCTCTAGAAACCATGAGTAGAAAAAGTGATTTGCTATTTGAATTTTCCACCACTGAAAAATGTGAACAGAAAAACAATAAAAGCGTGAAAAAAGCGAGGAAAAAAAGAAAAACAAATGATTTTATGACCACAACTTAAGTGCTCAATTTTTAATTGTTTGACGACGCTGATAAGACCCGCCGAGAAAAGCCGTCGAAGGCGGGGAGACTTTTTAATGGGACCCAAAAGTTCAATCAAAGTTTTATACATTTTTCTTCGGCTGCCCGCGGGGCCTTGGGGTTCAAATTAGTCGCCAGCAGGTTGATGATTATTGAAGTAAATATCTTTGCTCCTTGAGGCTGTCCCCAGTGGGCAGTAACCCGGCACACAAATAATTAAAAAACGCACTAAATCGTTAACAGAAAATAAATTTATTCACCGCAGTCAGGAGAGGAGAGAAACACTGCGATCATAATGGAAACAAAAATGCTTGCTTTCGCTTTATTTTGGAGGATGCACTCGCAATAAGTATATTGTTATATAAAGTTTTTTTTGGTAGATTCAGAGGAGGTGTTCAGCGCACCACCTTGATGTCGTGGGTGAAGCAGCAGCGCTTGCCGGAGACGGGATCCTTGAAGGCCCAGCGGATGGTGTAGGGACTCAGCGGGAACTTGGACTCGATGGGCACGTCGATGGTGTAGGTCTGCTTCACGCCGGACCGCACGGGGCAGGTGGTGTACTTGCAGGTGTCGCGGTCCATGGTGAGCAGGGGGAGCTCCACGGTCTCGGACTTGGCCCAGCCCAAGCTGGCCACCAAGGTATCGGCATCGAACTGGGGCGTGAAGTCGAAGCTCATCTGCGAAGTGCGTCTGCGGCGGATGTTGCAGGCCGCGTTGTTGAGCGCCTCTGGGCACGGGTTTACCCGGACCTCCTGGATCGTGCAGGTGTCCACGCTGTCCGGACAGGTCTGGAAGTTGATCACCTCGGCGGGAACCGGAGAGGAGCCCAAGACCAGGACAAGGGCGACAGCCAGCAGCGAGCTGAGACGCGACATGGTGGATCGAGAGTCGAACGAGGAATGCACGTTCTAGCCGCGATTACGGACTTTGAAAGCGTTCTTATCTCCGCACCCGCTGACCCCTTGAGCCGGGTCACATGTGTGCCTCAGTCGTGAGTCGAAAACGCCCTAGGCGACCCACTAACCAGATTGGGATTCCTTATCGGAATGCACTTGGGTGTCAGGGTGCCTAAGAGGGTACTCTAAGATTTACGTCATCTTGAAAAGTGTGCATCTCCTTCTAATCACATTTATATAATGCAGTAATACGTTTTGACTAGGAGATGGTGTTTTATAATTTTTTAAACTTATTTCAATCATTTAAAATTATTGTGTGGTTTATTAAACGGAATTGCAATATCGTGAATCATTAATAATTTGTTTTTGGGAGACCATCTGGTTAATATATTAGCAATACCCCAGTGAATTTGTCACTTTGAATTGACAGCGTCTGCCTTATCAGCAACTGTTTTGATCTTCGACACAAGTCACACCGAATCACGGTAAATATATATTATGGGGATGGGAACAGCGTGATAGGAGCCCAGCCCGAAGTTTCAAATCAAACAAACTGCATTTACAAAAAAAAAGAGTTTATTTCACAGCGTTGTGTGCTGTGGACTCTGGGGGTCCTCTAACGCACCACCTTGATGTCGTGGGTGAAGCAGCAGCGCTTGCCGCTGGCGGGATCCCTCAGGGACCACCGAATGGTGTACGAACTGAGCGGGAACTTGGCGTCGGCGGGCATGTTGTTGGTGTAGGTCTGCCTCACGCCGGAGCGCACGGGGCAGGTGGTGTACTTGCAGGCCTCGCGGTCCATGGTGAGCAGGGGGAGCTCCACGGTCTCGGACTTGGCCCAGCCCAAGCTGGCGTCGAGGGTGTCGGCATCGAACTGGGGCGTGAAGTCGAAGCTCATCTCGAAGCGGTGACGCCGGCGGATGTGGCAAGCCGCGTTGCTCAACGCCTCCGGGCAGGGCGTCACCCTCACTTGGTGGACCGTGCAGGTGTCCACGCTATCAGCACACGGCTGGAAGTTCACTATCTCCCCGGAGACGGAGACGGAGACGAAGGCCAGGCCCAAGACAAAGGCGACACTTAGCAGCGAGCTCGAGCGCAACATGGTGGATCGAAAGTCGGACGCGGAATGCACGACCCAGCCAAGATTGCGGACAGCAAATCGATTGGATTGCCATAGGAAGATAGGGAAAACTGTAATCGGAATGTACTTAAAGTGCTACCCTGAAGAGAAGGGCATTAACATTCTCTTATAGATTTTAAACTCCCCATCTCAAAAAGCTATACATGATTTAAAGTTTGATATAAAACCAAATCATCTAATCAAAAACTTTACATAAAATAAAAATGATGCATAATGTTTTCAACTAATAACAAATTTAACTGAGATACAAACGATGGATATAGTGGCTGTTTTTTGGGATTAAATATTTTTTAAATATTTAAATCTCGACTTCACTCAACTAATGAGAGCTACAAACATACCCTTAGATGTATGAATTTCGAAAACATAACAAGTTCTTATCAACTCCGAATACTATCAGAAACCAAAGCGACACGGAAAAGCGAGCATATTTTGATTATAATAATAGATGGGAATCCATTTTGTGAACACTTTTAAAGCCGCTGACAAGCACTAGTCAGCCAGGAATTTGAGCCGAGCAAAAGAGTTGAAAGGAAAGCAAATGGGAGTTCAATCACCCAAGACAAATGATGTCCAGTTGAGGTTGTCAGTGCTCGTGTCGCAGATCTAAGGCATCTGCCCGGGACAAAACCAATTGATTCCGGCAACCCGCGCCATATGCCAAATAAATCGTCACACTTTTCAGTGTCGGAACCCCGAGATGGAGACGGAGATGGAGACCGACAGTTGTCAGTCAGGGAAGCCCGAGATGAAAACGCAGGAGGAGACGAAGCCAAAGTCGAGCACACGTCTCTGAAACCGGAGACCAATCCCGCGGGTCTGGAAAGGAGGTCCCGAGCTATGTGCATTTGACTACCGAGCTGGGAGCTGTCAATAGAAGGCAGCCCGACAATTGCACGGCTCATTTGCGGGAATGCATGTCAACAATCAGAGACAACAAACAACAGGCAGGGCGATTGACAACCTGACACCCCCAAGCCAACCCATCCCCAAATATACAGAAAGAAAATAGCAATGCTCTAAAAGTTCATAAGCATAATCAACACACACTCTCTTTTAAAACTAATGGTAGATTATATCTCAGTATATTAAGAATTTAATAATATTCTATTTCTATTCAGAAGCGTTTTTCAGAGTGTATTTCCAGCAATTGCAATTCGATGCAGGCGCTTTTTCTTCCTTTATATCGGAAACCCCTGGAGGCCGCAATTAGCAACTGAGAAGACCAACTGGCAAAGCGCAACATTTTCCCTGTTTTTCAACAATTTTCCATGGCTCTGTTTTCATATGCAAAACATGTTTTTCAGCTCTCAAATTTATATTTCAAAAATTGATAGAAAAGTTTTGCAGCCAGCGCATAATTAACACTCGACAATCGCGTTTTCCCCGGCCGCCCAGCTTCCCCTAATTTTTTCAGCATAAATTATACAAAATATTTTTCCCCCTTTCCCCTGGCGCGTTTCTTCAGTTTTATCGCCACGGCGACTTTGCGCCTTTTTTTTATCAAAGTCCAGTCAACGGTGAATCAACAGAACTGAAACCCAAGCGAACCAAAACAGAATTAATTCATTAAAGAAATATGCAAAGCATTAAAAACAACACAAAACAGCAACGAGAAAAAATGGGCAAAGTATCAAGAACTTGATGACGGGGTGCTGGAAAAAAACGGAATTTATGTTTTATTACTTAATGAACTTACCGCAAATTAAGCCAAGGGTGGACAAGGGGAAAGGGGCAGGGGAAGGCGGGGAAAGCGGGCTTGTCTTCAATTAATATGCAGAAAATGTCAACACGGACTGCCGCTCATCAAAGTGGCAGCAGGAAAATCGGAAAAATCCAGCCCAGAACACTTGAGACACAAAAAGGAAGTGTCCGGACTGCAAATTGGTAACCAATTAATGGTGACCACTTTTTAATTGAAGACACAACCCAGGAAGTGGACGGGGAAGATAATATAGGTATGATAAGGTCGAAAAAATAAATAAAATAATTGGAAAAAGTTTACTTTCTAAGTTCAAATTAGACATTGGAACACTCTGATATGTAAAAAAGTGAAAATTAAAAACCTAATTCTAATAGCAGATTCCCTTAAGCCTGCTCCTAATTTTCTTTCATTAGCGAAGAATTGGCTGGCTGGAACTCTTTCATAAATTCCAGCTGATGCCAAAGCCGGCCATCATTTGCGGGTTAAATGTAGCTTGTGATTTGCCCAGATTTCAGCTCCACTAATGTGACACCCCGACCCCGAAACCCCTCCCCTTTGCTCCAAGTAAACCCCTACACCCCTGAGATTTTGCTCGGAATGGGGGCGGCGAACTTGAGCAAATCACCTCAAGGGCCATAAAAAAAGCGAGCACCACGCCAAGGCGAATGGAAAATACAAATGGGAATAAACGGCAAGCAGAAGCCGACACCAAAACGAAAAAATAATGAACGCCGGCTATATATCTGGGTTCTCTTATATCTGCTGGATTTTTATTTCTCGGAATAATCTAGCGAGCACACGACTAATCTTCGTTTAATTTCATTTGCGCCAAGCAAACCGAAATTGAAGGACTCGAAAGAGGGGAGTTGCGGGTGGAAATACCTCCATTTGCTCGGCAAGGACAATGTAAGGACATTTCGTCGAGCAGTGCAACATTTCATTGGCTGACGGGGAGATCAAAAGTATGCGACACCGTGGCTTAATTCGATTTTAACAATTGCAGCCAGCCAATGGCAAATGCCAAAGGACTCGAGCTCCTGCCATTCCATTTCCCTCTAATTGAAGCGAGGGCGAAAGACGTCCTGGAGACGAAAGCTGCCCCGCTTTTCCTTTTCCTTGGGGCACATAAAATTAATCCGACGTGTGGCGCCGCTTCTTTGTCAGCGTCTTCAGCGATTTGAATTTAAATGTCGCTGTTGTTTTTTATTCGCTTTTTATTCCCACTAAGCCAAGAAAAAATATAAATAAAAGAAGTCGAGTCAAGGAACCTTCGCGAATTGAATTAAACGTATCCTTTGCCCTCCACACAATTTCCCTCGTTTAGGTGTGGACAAAGGGACAATGAATGAGCAAGGGGCTTCGCCATCATCACCATCACTTGAGTGTATTGAAAATTTTATTGCCTGGAATAATTGGGCGAATTAAGCACACAAATTAATTGCCGCGGCAGCATATGTGAGAGAAAAATAATAAGAGGAGCCGGGCGAGCTCAAACTGATTTACTTTTATAGGCACAAAGCCCTGGCTTTGAAATTAACGATGGATTTTTTCCGAGCTGATAAAAGTGAACTAATCACAAAGCTACGCAATTGCAGACAGAGGAAGTAGCTTCAGTGAGTAACTCACTATCTCCTGAGGTCTAATTGATCTCACTTGTGGCGAACTTTGTGGTATTCACTTCCTTCGCAGATTAACCGTGGATTTTTTGGCGGATCTGAGTCATCTAGGAAAGACTTTGGCAAAAACAGAATTATTCAGATCTCAAATCGGTAGACGCAGATTGGCTTCCTCGATATCTGCTACCGCAGCATAAATCAGTTTAAAGCCCTTTCAATTAATATCTGTTTCCCTTTATAATTCGTTACTTTGTCAGCAGAGTCCAAGGTTTGCAGAAGTCTTGAATGTACAATGTAGTTCCTCTACCCCAGTCTGCTCATCCATTTCAACCTAAAACCCCCAGAATTAGTGGAAACATATGCATCATGCTTGCAGGCGAACAAAAACATTTCATGCAAAAAAGGTTTTTAATTTAAATTTCTTGACTTGACGTGTGGCATGTGCCGACGCTGTCGTCTTTGTCCCCGATGTCTGAGTCTCGGTCTCAGTCTGAGTCTGAGTCTGGAGATCCGGAGTCTGCTGAAATGTGGGCAGACTGTCTCGGGGCGGAGAAAGGGCCGAAGAAACTACCCACATACTCGTACGTACATTGGCCATGCACAATTGACGCTTACATTGTTCTCAAGAATTATTATGTGGTTCCCAGCATGTGTGCTCCTGGTCTCAGTTCCTGTTTCCCCATCCCCGGAGCAACCTTATCACTTTACCTACAGCAGCAGCACCCGAAATTGGTTACAATCTCACCCAAAAGAATGGCCGTTTTATCTGGGACATCAAGTCCAACACACATGTGGCAGACCCTCGACTCAAATTGAATCCCTTGGCGGGGTGGGCGGAGGTGAGAGTGCTCCTTAACCCACTCAACCGCTTACCTCATCCCTTCCAAGGAAGGAGCACTCCACACACTGTGAAAAGTAGAACCTCCAGCCAACTCAGGAAACTGAAAAAGGAAGAAGGTAAAACTAATTCAACAATAAATAAATGAGGAAGGAACAACAAAGAATATTTAAACTTAAGTTGTTTTTTACACTTTAAATTTTTATATTCATTAATTCATTAATACTCTGCTTTCAAATGTTTCTTTCAGTGTGTTTCCGCCTTGGCTTGTGGTCTTCTCAAGGCAAGACAAATTTGCTTTAAGCCTTTGAGAGGCGGCCACTGCCACTTGGATAATCCTGGGCCAATTAATAAGGCTGCAAGCGGAGGCACACATTTTCCTCGGGCCACCGCTCATGTGTGACCCATAAATTTTCATTTTATTGGCCAAGGTGCGCGGGCTTTTCTTCAAAACCGCCCCCGAAACTTTTAATTGTAATTAATTTCAAAACATTTCTGGCCAACGGCGCGGGTGGTCTCGACTTTTGGGATTTGTCTGCCGATTTATATGCTGATTCGGTTTTGCATTTTTGTTTTCAAGTGCTGCCAAAGTAAACACCGTCGGACACGGCGCACTATTTTTGCTCAGCATTGAGACGCTATGGAGCAGCGAGTTATTGTGTGTACACCCAGAGAAATATAAATAAATATGCAGAACAATTGTTGGCAGTCAAAAACTAAGAGATGTTGTTCATGAATGTGATTTGAATAAACTTTGAATACGTGAAAACAAAATATTTTCAAATAATTTCTTTGATAACCCAATTCTAAGATTGCTTTCAGTTTTTTCTCTGCAGAGA